AAGCAAAAAGAAAAAAGCCGGAAGTGGTGCTGTGGCTCAAGTGGTAGAGCGCTAGCCTTGAGCTGAAGAGCTGAGGGACAGCACCCAGGCCCAGAATTAAGGCCCTCGACCGGACCCCCAAAAAAATTATTATTAATAGGACAAGTGTACAATATATGCTTCTAGTAGGACTTTATCATTCTGAAAATCTGTAAAAACTACCAGCATTGGGTTAGTTACTGAGAAAGTCTGATTCACACAATGAGACATTTCTCTGTCATTAAGAATGATGATTAGATGCTAAATTTACTTTTCAATGATGAGTGCTCATTGAATACTGTTATGTGAAAACAGTAAGTTACAAAATTGTGTATATGGAATGATATGATTTTTTTAACATGTATAGGAAAAAAGTGTATGGAAACTCTAAACCCAAATACTAAAACATGTATGGAAATTGTGCTTGCCTTTGAAGTTAAAGTCCCTACATGGCAATCCTTGTTTACCAGCAGAAATGAAGAAACATCAATTGGCAAGCTGGAGACAACCTAAGAAGGGATGAAGGCTTTCTCCATATTGGGTTGGTAATTAGTTATGCATGGATCATAGGTTGGTGATTAGTTTTGTTTGTCAGAGCATTTCTGCAATCCTTGATATCTACTTAAGCTATGTAAATAATTTTTATTCTGATTTTCTATTATTTGATAATTTCTACTAACTTGATTGTTTCTCTATGACAGACCATAAAACTTAGCAATTAAATCCTCTCATTTATTCAAGAGTTTGCACTTGATTTAAAATACTAAATGCATTTGTTTCTGGTTAGAAAGAATGTTTTTTTTTTCAGTTTTTGTACCTTTTGACATGTGGCAATTTTTCATTATAAAAATATAGTTTGGAGAACTTAATGTTTATGTGTGGGAATTTATAGACATAAGTGAAAAACAATGGATATAGACAGCTTCTGGGAGAAAAAAAATCAATAGTAGAATTCCTTGAGTTTTTGTTAGGGATGCTTTTAGTTGTCCATATGCTATTAGGGCACAGGCCCTCTCCCCAACACAAGATATTGCACGCCGGAACCCAATACTAATGGAGTCCTAGTTCATGTCACTACATCCTCCCTTGGTTCTTCTACTTAAGATGGAAGTCATATTTTAATGTGGCACTTATAAAAATAAAACCAACAGTCATCTAGTCACTTGACCTGGACAATACTAAAATCTATGTCAGTGATTTATGTGAGAGTTTATCAAAGAAGGGAGAGGTGTGGCGATGCTAGCAAGTACAACATAGTTTGAATCCATTTAATTGTAATTTATTTTCAGTGCTAGGGCTTGAAATCATGGCCACTCAGGACTGATGCTCTATCACTTGAGCCACACCTGCAGTTGCAGCTTTTGATGATTAATGGATGGGAAGAAAAGACTCACAGATTTGTTTGCCCAGGTGGGCTTTGAACCTCAGTTCTCATATCTCAGCCTCCTGAGAAGCAGGTTCACAGCCATGAGCCATATGTACTCTGCTAGTTTGAATACTTTTAATGAAAAGGATTAACAACTTTACAGTTGTCTAGTTTTGATTCCATGTTCAAATAATCGGTTTATATAATCACAAGCTTATTAAAATAATAAACCTAATATGAAATGCCTATTAAATAAAAAGATATTCAGCATAAGACTGATGTGAAGCAAACAACTTGTATTTATGAAATATTTACTGTGTGTTAAACATTCTAAAGCACTCTTTATAGTGAGTCAATGATTCTTCAATGTAACCTGTGAGGTGCGTGCTATTCTTACACTTCACTTCACCCATGGAGACATCAAAGCTCAGGGACCTAGAAAATGCCTTGCCTAAGGCCACACTTTAGCCAAAAAGTGAGCAGGGTGCTAAATCTAGATAAGCTGGCTCCATAACACTTTATTTTTTAAAGTATTTTAAACAAAAAAGGTAGCTTTTACTTCGATCAGGTTTAGATTTATAGAAAGCTGCAAAGAAGTTTACAGAGAAGTCATGCACACCCTGCCTTCAGCTTCCCCTTGCTAAAGTCGTATGGCACATATGGCACATTTTTGGCAATTATGTAACCCATATTAGTATGCTAGTAATAATTAATACCATGCTTTATTCAGACTCTACAGTTTTTCTCTAATGTTTTTTTTTCTGGTCAAGAATACCATGCATACGACCACATTATACTGAGTTGTCATGTTTCTCCAGACAGCGTTGAATAGTGGCAGTCTCTCAGATTTTCCTTGCTTTGGATAATGTTTTGATGAATACTGGTGATACATCTTGTGGAATGTTCTGAAATTCAGTTTTATGTGGTATGCTTTTCATAACTAAACTGAAGCTGTGGCACACTGGCGAAATTCCATTCTCAACATGTCATTTCAAGGGTACATGGTACTACCATGACTTATCACTAATAATATGAGTCTTCAAAATGTGCCCAAGGTATTATATGCCTTTTGTCTCCAATGTAAGGTTCCTATGTTCCAGTGTATACAAGTTCCTCCCCACATTATAATACAAACCAGTACCAGTCAAAGTCTATGGGCCACAGAGAAGTTTCACTTATGTGAATTGGGGTGTCTATAAAAATTATTTACATTGTAGCCCATTTGGAATTATAACTCCTTACTCTATATTGCCTCTACTATCTCACTCTTTCTTATTCATCTGGCACATTATTCATGTATAATAGTTTAAAAACAAAATTCTTGTCAATTTTTTTCAAATGCCTCAAAAATGTTAGAACTAAATGTGACACTATATGAATTTGTTTTACAAAGTATATACTGAAGTCTGTTTTTTGTCTTGGAAGTACTTTGCAAAGAACTTACCAGAAATATTCGTTCAAGTTGATCCTGAATGTCTTTCATTCCTGGAAAAGCAGCAACTCCTTGAATCATCTCAACAAAGATGCAACCAACTCCCCTGAAGAAAAGAAGGAATTATTAGGGAAGCTTCAACACATACTATTTAGAAGATAAAATCTGAGATTTTAACATCCATTCCACAGGAAAGAGGCAGCAATACATACCAGTAAGAGCAGTGGGATACATGGAGAGCCTGGCTCTCCTCCCATGGTGTGTTTACTACCTTCAAAGACTTCCTCAAAAGTATTCTAAATCAGTGCAGTGACACTGGCTTCAGAAAATGGTGAACACCTAACATAGGAAGCCTCCGTGTCTTCTTACTTGAGGATACAGCTGATTAAGTCTTTGGCTTGACATATAAAAGTCACTTTATAACCCTGTTCTAACATTCTTTCTAACTATGTTCACAATGTACTGTACTCTATAGCTGTTGGCATTTCTCAATCCTCTGCATCAGCATTGTCTGGAGAACTTTTAAAAGCCACAAATTCTCTCACCACAAATTCCAGAGAATCTGCTCAGGGATGAACACGAACTTCTGGGATGGTATAGAATGGCTAGAGTGAGGACTGTCAAATGAGAAAGATCGATTGCTAAGTATAAATCTTTGGATTTGGCTCACATTACCTAGAATATAATCCTTTTTACATATTTGCTCTTGAAAATAAATAAAATTAAGTCTTTATGATATTGTTTCAATGTCACCTCCTCCAGGAAGCCTTCCAGAAGGCAAGTAGCTCCTCTTATGAACTCTGGTTATGCCCTTACTCAATACATCAGTCATCTACTATGTTCAACTTCCTCTCCTGCCTTAACTGCTGGGCACAGAATTCCTATCTAGCAAGGCAGTCAAGAGTAACAAAGGGCACTGCTTCCCAGACATAGCAGCCTGCATTTACCTCCCCACCCCACCCCTCACCAAAATGGGCAGTCCATAGTCATGGGCAGAGTCGGTCAGATTAGTTCTGCTGGGATCTTGATAAGAAGCTGGAATATGTAGATGAGTAAGTCATATAAATGGCAGGGAACGATGGGAATAGGCAGCATTTCTACACATTAAGTTTCCTAAACTGATACTCTTACAGAGTCTGCAGTCAACCCAATTTTTCTAGATCTCTCTACCTTCTAGCAACCCTCGATAATTTCTTAATGGCTCTGCTTTGAATGGGTTTATGTTTCCTGGAACTATACAAATAAGAGCATAAACATAATGGGACATTTGTTCAATTGCTACATTTATCTTAAATCTAGGGCAAGCAAGCCCATGCATCTTTAACTTATTTCAGAACCACATGGGGTAAAACACAAGTGACCTACTTCTCTATAGCTGCACCGTGTTTTTCATAGTTGTGTATAAGTAATACATTTTCAAAAATGCCTTTCCTATTACTCCATATAGTTTCTGTCTAAACACAGACATTCAACAAACATGTAAGAGTGCCAAAATTACTAAAATCAAGCACATTTTACTTTATATAATAAAATAATTTAATTTAAGCAATAAAGAATTAGTTTTAAGTCAAATGTTCTAGCTAGATGGATTTTTAAAGCACATTGTTTATATGTTAGATTTGAGCAATGGCAAAGGTATAGAGAGAATTATTTTATTGGCACAATAAAATGCAATGACATGTTTGTAAATATTGGGGTTTCAGATGTCTGATTAAGTGTAGTTAAAATTCCAGCATGGTAGTTTTCCAAATTTTTCTGCCAAGAACTCTTTTAAGGCTCCTGACCAACATTTCCATTGTATTCATAAGTTTATATTTAGCACCTTGCATATTCAAAACCTGTTCCTTTCTTATATCTATCTGAGAATGAGCTCTATAATTACCTTATAGCTTTCATTTTTCCCACCACAGGCTGCAACTCTGAGTGGGAAAACCCACAGCAGAAGACAAAGTGCCATTAATTCACAGCTAAGCAGGCTAGCTGGGAAGATAACTTTCACACGGTTACACCTGCCTATTCATTTTTTTTTACTACTACTTGTTCTTAGTTGATATCATCTCCCAAATATGACTCTTGGAACAATTAAAAAATAAATCTTTGCTGCAATGTTATTCCACTTGAAAGAAATGGTACAGATTTTCTATTGGTTGTTATCTGCTTGGCAAACTACAAGATGTTTCCTATGATGTCATTTATTTTTCAAGGGTGCTTGAGGGTGTAGTAATGAAGCTGAGAGAATTATACATAAAGGACATAAGCAAAATTATAATGCACAGGAAAATAAAAAGTAGAATTACGGAACACATCAGCATATTAATATAGGAGATTGCTTTTTTACTGGAGCTTCCTTATCACCCAACAGCAATAAAAGCTCTTCAATTTAATACGAATGGACCTGCCTGCTTTCAATTTTTTCCCCTTTCTACCCTCCATTAGTCCTGCATTTTCTCTCTCCCTCTCAATAGATTAAGCTGACTACACTGAGTGGTTCTCTAAAATGAATTCATCCACTTAAGCACTATACTTAAGATATATAACGTGGTATGAGGAAATGTCTAATTTATTGCTTCTTTTCAGAATCTGAATGATTGTGTAATTATTGCCCACTTACTCTAAATTTTTCAAGAAGAAGCACTCATATAAGCTTACAATTAAAGATATCATAAAATGCAATATGTTCAAACTCTTATTTCAGGGTTAGTCAACTGGTAAGGTAACATGTAAAACACCCACCCATGCTCACACATCAGTTAGTTATTATGAATGATAGATTTCCAGATTTGACTCACATCACAGGTATAGGAATGATCTTTATTGTAGTTCAAAATGAGACTTTAAACAAAATTGATAGTTATTTTTGTTGGTACAACCAAAGATAGATTAGGACTGAAAGTCACAGAATTTGGGCATTTTTCAAACTTAAGTAGAAAAAGTGGATATAGGATAAAAAATGAAGAGATACCACCTTTTAAATACAAGCAAGTAGAAGAACTTAAAATTTTTTAAAAAAGGAGCATTTATTATTACCTAAGAAAACTTTCTTAATCTTTTCTTTTGGTTGCATAATCTTCAGTGAATTCATAACAATCTTAGAATCAAACTTAGGATCTTGCACATTTATCAAGTTCTGAACTTTTGATCTAATTCCTCAACCCAATATACTTTTTTTTTCCAATCATGGGGCTTGAACTCTGGGCCTGGGCACTATTTCTCACCCCCTCAGCTCAAGGCGAGCACTCTACCACTTGAGCCACAGCATTGCTTCTGGTTTTCTGAGTGGTTTACTGGAGATAGTCTCAAGGAATTTCCTGCCTGGGCTGGCTTTGAACCACAATCCTAAGATCTCAGCCTCCTGAGTAACTAGGATTACAGGCGTGAGCCACCAACACCTGGCTTATTTTCTTTTTCTTTGACACTGAGGATTAAATTTAGGACACTGCTCATAACCACTGAAGTCTGTCTACTCCCAGCCTTATCTTTTCCTATGAAGAGAATATTCAGATACATTTTCCTCTAGAATGGCAATGGCTTTTTTCTAAATAGTTGAGAAAAGACTGTTCTTAGTTTCACGTCTCATATTATGTACAATCATATATAAACTTTTTGGGGTGTTGTTCATTTTAGGGAAATATTACATTTCTATACACTTTAGATAGCATATAGCAATTTAGTGGATTCTGATTTATACAATTTAGGACTAAGAAGCAAGAAGAGAATAACACTCTTTGCTCAGTCTGGAAGGCTCAGAAGAATTCATACATCTCAAGCAAAAAGGACTAGAAAAGTTTATTTGGCATAGTATGGGGAAATGGAACCGAGGGTGAGCATGGACATTCCAGGCAGAGAAAATAGAATTCACTGAGGAGTCTTAAATGTAATGAGTGCTAGTGTTAAGATGGAAGAAAAGGTATAAATGAGCAGAGAACTATAGTCTTTGCTATTTGTATTTTACTTGTCCACTAGAATGTTTTGATCTTTTTTTTTTTTTTTGCATTTCAGTACTTATAAGCTGAACCTAATTAGCAGGATGTGACCTATGGAAAAACCACTTATGCTGATTAAGAAATATGGTAGCTTAGCCGGGTGCCCGTAATCCTAGCTACTCAGGAGGCTAAGATCTGAGGATCATGGCTCAAAGCCAGCTTGGGCAATTAAGTCCTTGAAACTCTTATCTCCAAGCAGAAGCTAGGAAGTGATGTTATGCCTCAAATGGTTGAGTGCTAGCCTTGAGCAAAAAAGCTCATGGACAGCTCCCAGAACCTGAGTTCAAGCCCTACAACCATAAATAAATGAAAGAAAGAAAGAAAGAAAGATGCTTTCAACAGAGAACAAAATATAGATAGCTACTAGTTGTAAGGTTACCACTTTCTTTCTTATTCAGGGAAGTACATACAAAAGACTAAGGATCACAAATTATTTCCCTGCTGGCAGGAGGGCAACACATAATACTGTCAAGGGCTCCACGAACTATGGCAGGCAGGACAAATCCCTTTTGCTCACTGCTTGTTTTTATGGGGCCTGTGACTTAAGAATCACCTTTACATTTCTCCCCAAGTTTGTTTATTTATAATTGACAGACAAAATTATATGTATTTATTCTGAACAACATGTTTTGAAGTATATATACATGATATATGTATATTATATACATACATATATGGATATATATATATATATATATATATATATATATGGTTAACTGACATCAGCATTACTTCAGAGAGCTATCATTTTCATTGTGAGAACATTTGATATCACTCTCATGGTGCTTTTCCAGAATACAATATATTGTCATTCACGGCAGTCAACATGCTATACAGTATGAGGCCTTAAGTTTACTTTCTTTCTTACATTTTGCACCCCTTCATCCACAGCTCTTGATGTCAATTAGATATTTTAAAGTATTTTTGAGAAATAGAGTCTATACACAATGTTTTCTGTAATGATATCCTCTCAAAATAGATTTAATGAAATGATTTGCACAATAGAGGTAGAAGAGAGTTTACTTTTATAAACTTTTAGTTTTATGTTTAGAAGATACATTAGCAATGTCTCATTTCTTGAAAGCCTTGCCTTTTATGTACACTAGGAAATTTTGTCTGTTAA